CCTGCTTCTCCCTCTCCCACTCCCCCTGCTTGTGTTCCTGCTCTCGCTATTTCTCTCTCTATCAAATAAAAAAAAAAAGTTATATTAAAAACAAAGGTAATAAACACTCCAAAGTCATCACTGCCAATTGTTTTACTACATTTCACTATCATCTGTGGTGTAGAGCTGATGCACTTCGATTACGTCAGTACATTGGAAACGGTTCTGCACATCTCCCAGTACCTCCTTTAGTTCAGTGACAGCAGGTTGGTAGCTTGAAATTGGCCACAGGAGGACTATTGACACTGCAGAAATTGACAAACACTACAGATCAGGTGGTTTTTTTCTTTGAGAACTGGGCGTTAAACATCGGGCAGCATACCACTGCCCTTACTCATACTGAGATTCCATAATTGTACACATCGAGGTAGCTGGGTGTCCATCTCGATGCAGTTGGTATCGTGGTAAGAGCCGAAGGGCCTGAGCTCGAATCCCAGTTCAGTGCCTTGTAACTTGGGGCAAAGTATTTAATCTCCTTGTTTCTTGGGTTGCTCATCTGTGAAAACGGGGTAATAATTCGGTAAGAATGGGAGTAGTAAGAGTACGTACCTCGCAGGGCCAGTGTGACAATGAAAGGAACTAATGCAGGTGAAGGACTGAGAGCAGGGCCCAGCACAGAGCAAGCCTTGAATTAGTGGTGCGTGCGGAGTTGTATGCCCGCACGTTTATGTACACGCACGCACATCCGCAGGTCACGCCTCCAAAAACGTACTACAAGCCCAAGTTCCAAGGGAGGCTGAGGGCTGACAGAGGGCAGCCCTTGGGATGTGGTCCTGGCAAGGAAGCCTGGCAGGGTGGGGGATGGCAGCTGGAACCACACAATGAGACCAGGGCAAGGGGCATGCAGGACACAGTCAGCTGGTGCTCCCCAGGGAGCCGATCTCAGGACAGGAGGCAGGGCTGGCCTCTGGGAAGCAGGTGTAGGAAAGAGAAGGCTGAAATGGGGCAGGGTTGCTCAGGGCCTGGCAGCCAGCAGATTTTCAGATCTGAGGCTCCTTTGCTCCCCTCCCCCTCTCCCTTCCCACCTCTGCTTTCTGCTTTACTCATTCACTCAGGGAGCACTGAGCTGCGTGCTGAACCTTGAGGTTTCAGAGATTAAAACAGCCCTCCTTGCCCAAAAGAAATGAAAATATATGTCCATACAAGGACTTGTACACGAATGCTCCTAGCAGCTTTATTTGTGGTAGGCCCAAATAACTGGAAACTACCCCCAAAGTCCCACCAGCAGGTGAATGGATAAGCCAATTGTGGTGTATCTCCACAATGGAAAACGACTCAGTAATGAAAAGAATTATTGATCTACGCAGCAACGTAGATGAATCTCAATTATGCAGAGTCAAAGAAGCCAGAGGAGAAAGCCCATCACAGTACTCTTTATATAAAATCCTTTAAAATGCAAGTGCATCTAGAGTGAGAACAGAATAGTGGTGGCCTGGGCCTGGGTTTGGGGTGCAGGGAGGGAGGGATCACAAGGGGGCACAAGGAAACTTTTGGGGATGACGGCTATGTTCTTCTCTTGATTGTGATAATGGTTTCATGGGTGTATACAAACGTCAAACATGCAGTTTATTGCATGTCAGTTATATCTCAATAAAGCTATTAAGGAAGAAAAAGCACGATCCTCACCCTGCAGGAGCTCACAGTTGGGAAGCAGTGGGTGTGTGTGGGGGCGAGAGGGGGAGATGAGGATGCAGACACAAAAGCAGTAACAAGAATCCATTAAGTAATTAATGTTAGAGGATGAGACGGGGGAAGGGTAGAGCATGCCCAGGGCAAGGAACAGCAGAACCGAGGCCGGGGCCAGGAGGAGTGGTTAGAGCTGGGCCCCGGCTCCAGGGGCGTGAGGCCAGCTGGGTGGTGTGAGATGCAGTTAGGGAGCTGGTCTGGGGCAGAATCTTTTCCCTCTCTCCTCCCTCCTTCTGTCCCTTGCCTGTCCTTCCACCACTTGTCTACTTGTATCCTGTAGCTGAGCAGTCTCCCCCTACCCCCCCGCACCCCTCTTTCCCGCCAACACCACACAGTGTCAGAGAACGGTCTGGGGCAGAAGCCATGGCCTCCGTCCTCACCTTGTGGCCTCCCACAGGAAGGAGCCCTCGACCTTCTGAAGAAGCTGAATAGCTGTCAGATGTCCATCCAGCTACTCCAGGTGGGGCGGGGGTGGGAAGCCTTGGGGGCTGTGCCTGGGGGTTGGAGAAGGCCTTCTGGCGAAGAGAAAGACCTGGGGTGGGGGAGCCCTCCAAGGGTGGGGTCTGGGAGGGATTTCTGACGGGAGGGCCAGGGGCAGGGGAGGCCTTGCGCTCTGAGGGTGGAGACTGAGGCACTTAGATGGGGGCCGGGTACCTTCCAAGCACAGGGGGCCTGTAGGTCTGTGAGAAGGACTGATTTGCTTTCTTAAATACCCCAATCCCTAAGCCCTGGGCCTATGGGGTCTGAGAGGCCAGTGATCCAGGGAGAAGGAAAAGTTGCCCACCTTTAGATCCCAAGCCTTACCAGAAGTTCTTGGCCCTGAAAAAAAATCAGCACAGAGCCAAGCTGTGGTCGCCTGGGCTGTGTCTTAAGCTGAAACTTGAACTCAAAGACCCCAGGAGGTGGAAGTGGTGAGGGGTCCTTGGCCGCAGCCGAACCCACCACTACCTCAGCTTTTCACTGAAGCCGTGGTCGCCGTCAGGGCCGGGGTCTGGGCCTTGGGCCCTGGAGCTTACTGAGGGCTGCAGGTCAGGCCTGGGTTATTACATCAGCCATGGCTCAGGGCCAGGGCTCTGGAGAGGCTGGGGCTGGGCACATGGGGCGTTGAGCCAGGGCAGGCCTCGCCAGTTAGGGCAGTCCTGTGAGTCCACTGGAAGACCAGCCCCTGACCCTCTGGCTTTGCAGACCACCAGGATTGGAGTCGCCGTCAATGGGGTCCGCAAGCACTGCTCAGACAAGGAGGTGGTGTCCTTGGCCAAAGTCCTCATCAAAAACTGGAAGCGGCTGCTGGGTGAGAGGGGGCAGGGTTGACTTGGGCTGCGTGTTTCTCCTATCGCCCGGGTCGGGACCATGCCTGGCTTACAGCAGGCACTCAGTGCATGTTTGTCGAATGACTTAAGAAAAGACAGATGGCCTCTTAAGTGGGGAATGCCAGTGTTGGTCTACACACGGCAACATGTGTAGACTTGTGAGTTTTTGTGTATGTGTACGTGTGCCTCTATGTATGTATTTCCTTGTGCTTGCGTGTTATATAGAGAGCACATGTCTATATATACGCATTTGTGTGAGTATGGTCTGTGTGCAGGTGTCTTTCTGTCCCCCGTGTGAGCGCAGGTTTGCACACACACGTGCACGTCGTATATGCATCTGTGTATGAATGTGTATTTCTGTGTGTGTGCAGGTGTGTTGGGGGCATGTGCAGCTGTCGCTGTCCCTGCCCTTTGCCCCTCCCTCCCCGAAGTTGTGCTGGGTTCTGCGGAGACAGAGCTCAGTTTGAGAACGATGCCGTGCTTTCATTTGCAGACTCCCCTGGACCCCCCAAAGGAGAAAAAGGAGAGGAGAGAGACAAAGCAAAGAAGGAAAAAGGGATCAACTACTCTGACTGGAAGCCAGAGACAGGCCTTTCTCCACCGAGGAAAAAACGAGGCGAAGAGCCCAAAGACAGGTATTTTTTCTGGGATGGAGAGAAGGGGGCTGACACTTGTCATGTCCTCTGCCAGAGGCTCTGTTTATATAACTTCGTTTAATCTTCACGCCCCAGGAGGAGCTACTGTTCCCATCTCCTACGGGGCCCCCTTGGGGAGGGTCTTCTTGGGCTCAATCAGACAGACCCGTAAGACCCAAATAGGCCATCCCTGGCACTGGCTTCACCGAGAAGGACGCCGGGGCAGGAGGTGCAGCGTGCCAGCAGGGCAGGCCCAGGCCTTTCTCATCTGCTAGGGGACCACACAGCATCCAGAGCTATTCGGTTCTACCCAGGTGCAGGGTAATGAGTCCACAATGGTGGGGGTTGCTGGTGGTGAACCCCTGACTTAGAAGACAAAGCTGCCAGGATCCCAGCAGGATTCACTGTCCTTGGCGCAGCCCCCAAAAGCTATGGTTTTCCACTAATTATTTGTATTTCATTCAGAGCCCTTCCTGTCTGGACATAATTTACCAATCAGGGCTCATTTGCTATAAGCAATGTTGCCTAGTAACACAGCGGACATCCCAGCCTTGTCAGGGTTCCGGGTACATGGGGCTAGGAACTCACTTAACCATACAGAAAGTAAAGTGTTTTGTTGGCTCTCTAGTCAACGTTTTCATTCTGTGAGGAGGAAGCCGAAGGTTGGGGAGCAGGGACTTTCCCAAGACCACCCAGCTATTATGTGACCGAGTGGGATCCCATCTTTGTCAGACCCCCAGACCTCTGCTGAGAATAGAAGAGTTGTCTGTCTCAACTCCATGCCCATTCCCCCTTGCCCACCTAGCCAGGGTCCCCCAAATTGCATGACTTCAGATAGACCCAAATGCCTTATCCATGATAGTAGATAAAAGTCCTCATCGATGTATAAATAAATCCTACCCGTTCCCTATGTGACGAGAGCACTTAATTCCTCAGGTGGGTGGGAGGGGTCTGCATTTGTTCACCTAATAGGTAAGGAGGCAGTTTTAGATAATACTGAATAGTATCTGATGGTAGATAATAGTAGGTGTTATATGGATAATATCATCTGTGATATATCAACGTTTTTAATGAACATACCTTTTTTATTTGTATTTTTTTTTTAAGATTTTATTTATTTATTTATTTGACAGAGACACAGCGAGAGAAGGAACACAAGCAGGGGGAGTGGGAGAGGGAGAAGCAGGCTTCCCGCTGAGCAGGGAGCC